CCAGTTGTAACATAACTGAAGAAGACTTCAGGAACAGTTTAATTGTCTACAAGAAGGGATAAAGATGGATGATGGACGTGGTTTATGTTGTGTATAGGTTAGGACTGCTACATTCACTGTATCTGCTCAATTAATTAATTCCGTAAGTGTTACTTAGTTTTGTAGTCACTGTGTTAAGATAAAGTACCTTTTGCTCACTCATATATTTTCTAAATTCAGAATGCAAAATGTATCTGTATATGTGAAAGACATGTACTGTATGTTATGTTTATACACTGTTGTTGCTTTTATCTCTGTGTTGCTAAATCGGAAAGCAAACAGAGACAAATTCCGGGGTCAGGTTTTAAATTGCTTTCTGGTATTATCCATATAATGATTTTTTATTATTTACTGTACTTGGTCTGTTGGTTTATTATTGATAAATTGTTAATCAGAAATGTTGTTTTATGTTGGTTAGTAGTGGTGTAATTACAGTTTGCACTCAGGAGGAAGGTACTGAATTGCTAAAAGGGTTAGAGTTACTAATATTTTTCAGTTTTAGTTAGTAATAGAACCGGAAGGTTCGGCACAGCAAATACCAAACTTGACACAATCCTGATCTAGTTGCAACTACCATGCATGCTTATGAACTGCTTGTACAAGATCCACCACTTTCCTACAGGATTATTCTCCAAAATTCCTGCTTTTGTTTTTTGACGTAAATACGTCTATATTTTAGGGTCAGTGTCATTCGGCAAAAAGTGTAACGAAAAAGTGTAACTGCATTGTTATGTTACCTTGGAAACGTCAATTGTTTACTCGGCATTATTGTTACCAAGCAAACGTCAATTGTTTACTCGGCATTATTATTACCTAGGAAACGTTACATTACTCAGCATTTTTGGTACCTAGAAAACGTCATCTGTTTACTCGGCATTGTTGTTACCTATAAAACATTTCATTACATTACCTTACCTTACCTTACATTACATTACCTTAGTTTACCTTACCTTACCTTACCTTACCTTACATTACCTTCCATTAAATTACCTTACCTTACATTACATTTCATTACTTTACATTACATTCAGCTACCACAGACCCATCTTAAGCGTAACTAATTCAAGCTAAATAAGCAAAGTCTTAATCAAACTTTATTCAATTGTAAAGCATGTATAAAGCAAATATTTAGAATAAAGCCAATATATAAACTTCCTTTCCGTATAGACATATTTACGTCAAATTCTCCGGAACCGTGGTTCATCTATCACTTTTTCTCATAATCGATGTATCCAATTCACTGTAACATTCTAGATTTCATCACTATAGCAGTAATAGGTGATAGGTACAAATTATTAAGTTTCTTGTTGTGCTCACAATTTATTGTTTTAGGTCCATTTGTTCTGCTGGGTATTTGGTTCTCAGATACTTGTACTTTATGTTTCTTCCTCAAAGTAAGAGACTTTAAAACACTGATAAAGTGTTTTAGAAAGTAACTGGGATTACCATAACTTTTGTACTGAATAATGACACACATTTGCTGACATTTTTTTTTGTCATGAATCTCATTTTTGTTTGTTAGAATTTTTCTTAAAATGTTGAAATGATGTAATAAATAAAGTAATACTCATGTATAACACTAATTAGGTATATTTTGTCTAGAAATAATTTAATTTATTGTGGAATTAAAAAGTCTTTGAGTAGCAAATAATAATATATCAGGTTCACAAACCTGACACAAATTAAGGTTATGATAACTGTGTGAGTAAAGTGATGAAGTCTGGACTTGGCGGCTTGGCTTTCATTCCTGAATTTTTTGGTAATTACGATGTCCAGACTGACTCTCAGGTCCGTCCAGCATTCTATCTAAATGGCTCTTGACGTAGAGGCAGGTACAACATGAAACTTCCCAGTCACGACCTCCTTTTTGTGGTTAAGTGAAAGATGCTTAGAATTGTGTATCCATCCTCTTTATAAGCCTTTATCTTCATCTCTTTTTATTAATTGTGTATGTCACTTTCAATTTCCTTAAAATTACATTTGTAGATACTGAGTACGAATAAAAGCAATATACATTACAAGCAATAGAACAGTTGAAGACAATCTTTCACAATATTACACCACTTGTACACAATCACAATATACTAATCCTTTATGTTTGCTTCAAGAAGTCTATATCTAGTAGTTATGGGATTGTAGAAGTTGCCATGCAAAGCTTCACAGATAAGAAAAACGGAAGGCTGAATATTCTGTCTAAATTCATTCTACATGTTTAACCCTTTAAAGCCCAGTGCTAAAATATATATCCCACCTTTTTCAACGGTCAGTAGCTTTACATTTTGTGTTTGTGTGTTCCATGTGATTCTCGGTGTAAACAGCAATTATTTCCTCAAACAGTGTTCACCATTTGATCTTTGCAATGGTGAAGTGTTGTGTTTTCTTTGCGGTACGGACTTAATACTTATGTAATATTCAGATGAGGTTTGGCTTTAAAGTGTTAATTCAGTTAACAATTTCTTATAAACCGATTAATGCAAGTCAAGATGTGTTTGTTAACTTCAGCTAATAGGCTGAAACTGAATTAAGTTTGTAGTTACACTTATTTGAGACATTACAATGAACACTGAAGAATGCCGTTTGTTACATATACAAAACATGGTCAGTTCAAATGTTTTGTTGAACCACTTCAATCCAAGACAAGAAGAGGCTTGAAATCGGGCAACAACTCCTGAACCTTTTTTTCACCATATCTCCTTCCTTTTCTCCTTTTGACACTCCAGCTCCATCATTGAAGGTAACTGCTGCCACCCCGTAAAGCAACGTGTTAGCTATTTCCTGTGGTACACAATAATATACAGGGAAAGTAAATTAATAAACTCTCCCTCTATTAGGGTCACTCAAAGTGTTTTGTCCCACATTATTTTTCTGAGTGAACACAATTATGGTAAATATCAAATTTGGTGTCTACTAATTTCAAACTTTCCCACCCTATGTAATAAAAGTTTGATACATGTAAGTATCTGTACACCAAATTTCAGCTGTTTTATATAATTTTTTGCTGAGAAAACTGTAGGACAAAACTTTGTGACTAACCTACTTTCATTATAAAAAGGAACAAAATTGTGGTTACTGATATCAGACGAGTGTGTAGTATGACATAAGTGTGTTCATATCAATGTCACATCTGTCTTTGTGTGTTTGCAGCACTGATAGATGGACCTGTCGTCAGACAGAACACTAAATAATAAAAATAAATACACTGATTTGTTTGACATCCGTAAGTGCATATTAGTGTTACTGTATTAAGCAAAATGATTTAAACCTGAAAGATCTGGCACAGAATTTTCATCTTCATCTTTGTAAATTACTAATAGATAAATATGCTTCAAAATCATATTTGTTCAGAAACTTTCAGTGTGGAATTTCTGTACAGAATTTGTCAAAATATAAATATTCAGAACTGACTTGATTTGAAATTTACAAACAGAAATGTTGCAGGCAACAGACATACATAAAAAGTCACATCAATTCATATGATTTAGGCAAATAATTAACTTTTTATTTATTAATTCATCAGGAACTTTAGAGGTTAAGATGAGAAAAAATTTGTCACTCCTAAACTGAAGGTTAAATTCCTGCTCACTGTTTCAAAATATTGATTTAAATTGTTATTCTTGTATCAGTTTTCAGAGTCGTACGTTATCAAAGTGAAGTTAGGCCTGCAGACTATGTTGGTCAAGGTTCTATACTCCATATATAGAAATTGGTTTGTTTATCTCATTTTTCCTAAAACTGAAATGCCACATCGCAATTGACATTCTACATAATAATCACTTTACCTGTTATAGTGGACTGCTGCTAGTTCTTGTTTGTTTACTATTATCACATGTTCGGTGCAAGCAATATGGTGCCAAACTATAAAACTGTGTTCTTGCAGACTTAGGTCGTACAAATCAGTGGCTACTTGGTTCTTGGTTACAGACTCACTCTAAACCTGCAAAATAATAATCGAGTAACTAATCCACTTTGTGCATTTGAAGCTGGAACTTCACATTAACTTTCAGTTTGATGTTCATTTACCTGAAACAAGCCTCTAAAAGCCTTCTTCACTAAGTCTGTGTTGTACCAAGCGGTAGCTTCACACATTTTCAGATTAATGGCTGACTGGGTGTGTTCTCTCCAGGTTTGAAAATAATTACGGAGTAGGTGGGTATTTCTTTGCTATTTCCATCAGCTTCCTTTTGAGTGCCACTACTTGTTTGAATGCAAACATTACTTTCTTCATGAGCAGTGTTTTGTACTGAAGTGATGCCATTATCATCAAATTATGCATTTTTCCCCTGTCATTCTTCTTCTTAATTTCCATGCACACTGGTTTGAGGATTAATAAGAGCTTATGGTCTAATTGGAGGAGTGGAAAGTACTCATCTAACATTAAATATTTTACACAAGTGTTATACTTAATGGTAACAGTCTATAAGATAACTATTTTCGTTGAGATTTATGAATGAACGTATGTCAAGAACATGCCTTTTTAACTTGGGTTTGTATCTTGTTGGATGGGTAACTAGAAAATCTGTAACTATTGAGGAGATTGCAGTAATATTCAGAATTATAATTAGTTCTCTCAGTTGAATTGCCTGCTTGATTGTAATGATGAGAGAGACACAAAATTTCCTAACTTACAGACTGGCTCTGTGGTGGATTCCATCTCAGCTACACCATCTAATTTCCATGGCAATGATAATGTGACAGTCCCTGTAGCAGTGACCACTCCTCCTGGAAGAGTCGACTCCACCAGCGAACTGATGATCCAACAGAATGCAGGCTAGGTACTGTGCAATTTTATCTTTAGCATAGTTTTCTTGTTCTTATGAGTGGTGTCTTTTTTACTTGAATGTTTAAGATAATTATAGTTATTTTGTGATGTTAGTTAATCTAATTCTTTTAATAAATCAAGAATAAAATATTTAATCCTTTTTTGTTGTCTTATTTATGTTCTTTTCGTGTGGTTTTTCTGAATTTCTTTGTGAACATTTGTCATACATTTTTCTTGGTGTGATTTATGATCTTGGTTGACCATAATTAGTGATTGTCTCATCTATGCTGATTATGTTTCATTTATGTCTCTTGCAATTTTCAATTTCCAGTTGGTTGGTGGTGCCCCAGATGGCAGTCAGCAGTACCATGGAATGAGTGGAGGACTGAAGACGGAGAGTGGCCGCGTGCAGCTGCTGATCAGCAGTAGTGATGGATCCAGTATTACCTACAGTTTGGATCCAGGCCAAGCAGACTATGTCGAACAGCAGAGCAGCAACAAGATTTAATTGATGCCAAGCTGTTAGAATCGCAAGTGAATGGGGGTATCGAGAGCGAAGTTCGTAGGTTAGGTAAGTCACTCGGCCTATGGCTGTAGTATATGGTGCTTCTTTTTTAACTATTTATATTTTTAACAGGGTGGCAACGTTTCTAGAACTCGCAGCAGGATGAACTTTACAATAATGAAACAAATATTAGATTCTGTTTCAGCACCTTCGTAGATTGTCATATTTTGTTCATTGTTGACTGTGTCTATACATGTTCCCTGCAGGCATTTTTCATGTTCTGTGTCTTGATCTGTATGTAATAATGGATTTACTTTAATGCTGTATACCTTCAGTCTGTGACTTTTGTTCTAACGTTAATCCGTGCAAGAGTGCAGCTATGATTCGGAAAGGCAACTTTGTTTCTTCAAATGTCCCTTCAAATTGTAAATGTAACACTGTCTTCTGTAGAACATCCCTTGTTGGGTGAAGATGTGGACATCATGCCTTGTAAATTACATGTTCTTAAACTTCCTATCTTCTGGCTCATTCCAGTCAGCAGTACTGAAACAGAGAGTGATAAAAATATTGAAGGAAAATTAAAAGATTGTTTTGTTAAAATCTTCAAACATACATACACTGAATCTTACATGCTAGAATATACACGTGGGTTAATTAAAAAATGAGAAGAGCAGATTTGGTCTTGTGTATGCGCAAGTTTTAACCGCCTTGATTCGGAATCTAAACACCCATAAATGGCAGGTGTAGTCTGGGTTTTGGCCCGTCTGGATCCTCTTGTCTGAAATATTAATGCAGACTTCTTCAGTTGGAGGGTAATTAAACTGGGCATCTTCTTGAAGGATTTGAGCAGGTCAGTGATTACGTGATCTGAAATGTCAGTTTGAGGCATGGGTTTATTTTAAGCTTTCATATTTTGTCTGGTGGGTTGCATTTTCTGCTTTTGGTAAAGAATCTTCCCTAAACCTGTCCTCTTTTCCTACTCCAGTATTTTCTAGTTTTGGTGTTTAGCAATGTCAAATGGGATGTTGGTTATTAAGGTGTTTTTGCTCCTACATTTGTAGAAGTTGGTGCTAAAATGTGTTTGTTTTCTCTATTTCTTAAAGCTGAGGACATTTGGATCAATGGTGATATAAAACGTAAGGAAATAATTAAGAGTATGTGCTTAATTCAGTGTGTTCAGCTTGATGATTACTGACTTAATTTCACTGCTGTAACAAGATTCATTGCAAGTGTTACTAATGAATGCAACTCCTTATTTAGCAGAGCTCTGTGTTAGTTTATTTTGCTATTCTTTCTCACATAATTCTTTTTACTGTACCTTTTTTAATGCTTGTGTATTTTATATTGTAACAAATTTTAAAAATATAACCACAGTGTTTGAAGAGCTATCGGATTAGGTGATGGTATTCTGACATATGTAGAAGTCTTGTGGAATAAGCACAATTGTTTTAGCATTGTGATGTTTGTTTTTATGAGGGTTGCCGAAGAACTAATATACCATTCTTTCTGCATGCTCTATTTTTCAGTTCTATCCAAATCTGTGATCTAATACTTCCAAGAAGCAGGGGTGTCGATGACCTGAGTTCTTTCTTACATCAAAGGCTCTTCATCTCACTAATAAATTTGTCATCCTCAGTTTTGTGCTGAGAGTGTCATCTTTTTTACGTTTCCAAATAGAAAAGGTTCAGTGCTGTAATGAACTCGTCTGTCCTCTTGGCATCACGTGCATTAAAATTACTACTTCCTTCAGAATTACTAAGTGTTGGAATTGTGACTTCACCACCTAAGGGCATCACATGAATGTGTGTTTTGTTTGTAACATACCTTTATCACCATCTCAGTGTATATGATCTTGCGTTGTCAGAAGGTTTTGAAGTTCTGCAGTTAGATGGGATAGTGTCGAAGCTTGCATGAATGAAAGTTTAATTTGTCTCCTCTAGTGTTTTTTTTAATGTGATGAATTACTTTCTGGGCTGTACATAATATATTATTTTCTATCTCATGAAGTAAGCAGGTAATGGTTGATACTGTATGTTTGAAACTGGACATGATATTAAGGAACAATTTCTTTAAAATTCTGTATACTAGTTATAATATTCTGATTTCATGCGTACAAGTGACATCATCTAGCTCACAATTGATTTCAGTTGCGGGTACTTGTAAACATGGGAATGAACTCTCAGATTCGTAAAAGGTATTGCATTAGTTGACCAGCTGAGTGACTGCTAGCTACTCTAGAAAGGCTGTGGTTCATGTGATTTGTAACTTCAGTGTTTTTTCCTGTACTACATTCTATTTTTTCTGAAAATATTACGTCAACTTTGTGTAGATATATTTACTAACTTTGGTTTGTCTTGCTTGTCACGTGAACTGGCAGGGTGATGTAGAGAAGGATGATGTTTTTTAAAGTTGAGATGATGTTCAGTTTGGAGCCACAAAACATTGTAAGACAGTTAAAGGGTGTGAAGAATGTCACAACTCGTATGAGCATGGCTGCCATCGGCATCGAGTGCAGACTTTATGTGACAAGCCCGTCCCTTCAAGGGCCTGGGCCAGTTTACCAGTCTCTTATTTGGCAATTAACAAAGTTGGGACATCTGATGGATCACCAGGTGAGTAAGGACAGTTAAATATTGCTGCGATAAATATAAAATAATTGAGGTTATGAACATTTGGTAATTCATTTTATTGTACAGATTCCAAGTAAAAAGAATTATTAATAATAAATAATTATAATAATTTCCTTTTGTATGCATATATATTCAATTTAACAGCATTAAAATGTTTAATGTATGCAATGAAATTGTATGATGGAACTTTGGTGTTTTGTCATACATGTTTCTCACTGTGTAACATGTAGTCATGTGACTGCAGTAAGATTGGATCTTTGAAGATGCAGTTGTTAGTTTCACCAATCAGCCATTGAATTTTGGACCTTCAATATGTAAAATAACATCAAACTGAAAGCATTTGCACATAGTGAAAAGGCTTGTATTTTAGGTCAGATTGATGTGAAACAGGAAGATTGTTTATTACCATCACTGTTGTGTCATTTCACATGGACTGTAAATATGTTGTGCACTTGGTGTGGAAAATTATTAAATCTTTTACATTTATGGCATTTGTTAATGTTTATTAATTTATGTTGTGTATTACATTTGTTATTTTAACTTAATATTCCAGGCCTGCAAGATGATAATAGTTTGAAAAATTCTCTGTGCTCTAAGTTTGAGGATTGAGGTGTTTTGAAAAATTCTAATTTGCTGTTAGTGTGTTATCATTTTCATTTACAATTTTTAATACATTAATCCATTGCTGATGGGATTAGGAAGGATGCCATACATTATATTGTTACATATATTAAATTTGATTTGATAATGTGGCAAAGATCTCTGATTTATGATTCATATATTTGGAACAGTGTATGGCGTATTTGCTCGGAAAAGAATTCCAAAGCGAACTCAGTTTGGGCCCATTGAGGGTGTACTGGTAAAGGCAGATGAACCTCACGTGATTTTGGTTGGGGGAGGAGAACCTCAGCTTGAGTTGTTGGTGGAATCGGAAACTGGAGCCATGTTGAAACTTGACATTGAAAGTGAGAGTAATTGGTGAAGTCTTTATTATGTATCAGTAGTGGTGTGGTATTATGTGCTGCAGCTGGTGCATTATTTATTATGTTGTTATCCCTTGTTTAATTATAATTGAATTTGGTGTTTAAAAGGAATTTAAATTAGGATAGAAAAAAATTCACAATTTTGACAATGCTGTTATAGATTCATCTAACTGGATGCGGTTTGTGCAGGGAGCTGAAAGTTTCAAAGATCAGAATCTAATATTGAGTCAGCAGGGTCATTCTTTATATTTCACAACCACACGAGTAATCCACCCTCGACAGGAACTCCAAGTATGGTATAGCCTTCCGTATGCCAATAAGCGAGGACTACCCCTGCTTCAACCCGACCCAGGAAAAAGAGGTAATGCAGTCCATGGTTCTTCGGATCATATAAAGTTATAGATGCATATTCTTTTTCATTTAGTATTTTGAAATATTCAAATATAATACTGAGCTTGCTTTAGGAGTCTTGTTGGCAGCATGCAAACCAACAACACCAACACCTTTAGATGCTAGTAATTACATTTTGTTATACCTTCCGTCAGAAAATTTATTTCTTATACTAGTAGAAAAGTTCTTGTCAAAACCATGAGGTAGGTGGAGGAGATGCATAGTAACGTTGTACAGACTGAGGGGAGAAGGGTAACACAAGATACTTGGACCACAGAGTAGAATTTTTAAGTGAGAAGAAGACTGTATAAAGACTGGTTGTTGACCACAGGTATATTATTTTATTACTGCTTTCTAATGCACATAAGTATTCAGATGGTTTCTTTAAAAAACGATCAGAAATTGATTTGACAGATATTTAAGGTTTATTTCAACATAAAAAAATAACTGTTTTTTGTGGCATTAAGATTGGGCCAGGGATCAAAATTCGCTCATTGAAGTTTCTGTAACTGAAGCTGTTGTTTTATTTCTAAAAATTGTAACTTTTGTATTTTGCATGTTGGTGTAATATGAATTTCATTTGTATTCTAGCTGTTGAAGACCTGGAACATATGTGGCCATGCTTTGAATATAATGAGAAATTTGTCAGCTCAGAAGAGCTACAGAAGCACTTGAATGTTCATGACAATGAACGTGTGAGTTGGGCGTGGTTTTATAAGCCTAAATGTTGTAAATCTGCATAGATTTTATGCAAGCTGCTGTAATCACAATGTGTATCATACTTCTGTTTTTCTGACACGTGAATTTATTTCACATAGGAGGAAGACGGAGAACCTAAGAAATCAAAGTCTAAGAAATCTGGGCGAACGTTTAGGCGCAAAGGTGTGTCACATTTTACACCAAAGAAATTTAAGTCAGATGGTGATAAACGTACTGAAGTAAGTACTCTCAGATGGATATTTAATTAGAATTAAAAAATAGTAAGCTTGACTAACATTGATAATTCTGATATATGTTTTGTATATATAATTCCATATTTTAAATTGTAAGTAGTTTTGGGAGACAATGCAGTATGATAACATTATTAATTTACAGTGCGATGAAACACATTCCTAGACATTGTCTGCATCCATACAACATAATCCCAGAATATTTCATGAAGATAACGAATGTTGTTATCTCTCAAATGACTAATTATAACAAGCAAATGTTTCTGAAACACTTTTAGTGGTTTCTCGGATTTACAGTTGTCCCCTTACCAGTGTCATGTCTGTCATCGAGCCTTTCCTTGCAACTACAGTTTGAAACGACACCAGCTTCTGCATGTTGGGGAGAAGAAGTACATTTGTGAAATTTGTGGACATCAGTTCTGTCATGTGCACAACAGAGACAGGTCAGGAACTTGTCGTTTGTGACCTTAGAGTATCCTCAATGTACGTGTTTATTGTTAGCTTTATCGGGTGTTTCAGCCAATGAAAATGAAACTTTCCTGTTGAATACAAATAAGATACCTAATATTTCCTCATAATTTTAATTAATTTTGCTTAGTTACTTAAGCTTTGAATTATAAGTAGACTTCTAATGTCCTGGTCTAAAATTGTTGTAGGATTGTTAGTGTTGTGGATATGAAATATAAGTGGCTCACACACTGTTTCTATAATGGCACTGTCAGTAGCTCAGACCATGGACGAATATAAAAGAGCAAATTTTAGTAACACGGTACATTTTTATTCGCTTTATCTTTGCACTGTCTTATTTTTAGTGTGATACTTTTTGTGTTACAGGCATGTTCGAAAACAGCATAAACATTATGGCAGTGACAACAGTGGGAAACTTACTGCCAACACAGTTATGAAGAAGAAGCCACCAGAGTGAGTTAAGTCGTGAATTAGTGTTTACTGATGACAAATGATTTTAAATGTTGAAAGTTAAGTGTTTGGTAGTGGTTTGAACTTGGACTCTGTTCATCACAGATAATGGATTTTGTTCTTACAGATTTTGATTAAATAACTCAGATTTTCTTGCTATATAATTCTGCATTTTTTATTTTAGGGGAGGTACACAGGCCTGTTGACTTAAAGTATCTGTGATGTACTTTTTCTTTTGTGTATCAGTGTTTCAATCTGTTAGGCTGAATACTAAATATAACTGCTCGTGTTGAAAAGGTTTCCAGATATGAAAGGTTGGTATGAATATTTTTAATAAGTAGTCATGTGGTCCTCCAGCTTGGGGGTTGGATTACATGTATCAGCGCATAGTAAACCAACTGCTCCACAGCTACGCTCTGTATAATGGATGCATGTATATATCTCTTTCCCCCAGGAATTCCCTAGCAAAAAGGAACTGATTGAACATGTATCAGCGCATAGTAAACCAACTGCTCCACAGCTACGCTCTCGCTTGCGTTCTGTAAACCCTGCGAAGCCATGGAAGTGTGATCTTTGTTACAAGAGCTTTGCAGCAGAAGATCGCGTTCAGGTGAGAAAATGTAAAATCTAATTGTTTCTAATAGGTGAACAGACCATATGTATTGACTTTGAGGTTTGTCTACTCAGAACTTTATTTTGGTGGCTTTGATCCTGTTGCTCAGAATGCCTCGTGTTTTCATGACATGGTTCTTGAACACAGGGACATTATTTCTGTAACCTTTACTTGGTTAAGGGACTGAATGTGTGCAGTTCTCATTCCAGTCTTATTTCCCTTTATAAAACTTTTTAAAAATTCAGAAGAATTTGTCTTAGAGCGAGGAAGTTTAGTTTTTTATTTCAGTCTGTTACGAGAATGTGCCGTAAAATTGTGTGTTTTATCGATTTGCTGTTTGTGTATCGCAGGCGTACTTGTGCTTTACAGCATCACATGTTGGTACACAGGGCTTAAGAATTCAAGCCCCTGCAGTGTGACATATGCTATAAGCGTTTCCTCAATAATTCTGCTCTGGCTTGCCACATAAAAATTCACAGAGGTTTGTTGACATTTTCTTAATTGCGCTAATATGTATACCATTGTTTCCATTTATACCATAAATAATGACGTATAAATTCCCATTTCACCCTTTGAACAGCATTATTTTCTGAGCTTACCTGAGAGAAGGCTTTAGATATAAAAATATTCAGGCAGTCTGATTTTTTTCACTAACAGAATCTTTAAAACAGTACAACTTGTCAGGTATATAAAACAACATGTTTTACTCCAGATTCTAATGTGGAGGTTAAAGTTATCATAAGAAGCCTGACATCCTGTTATTTTTGAAGACTTGAACATCATGTTTCAAATAAATTCATATTGTGGAAGCTAAGAACAAATTTATAATAATTTTTATTTGTATGCTTCAGATTTTACATTGTTTCCTATGGATAACAAGTTGAAGCAAGAGATATAAACTTCATAAAGTAATTTCAGGTTGTTTTATTTATTTGTCCTCACTGAACTTATTACAGCTGATTTCAAATAGCTACATACAACACATTGGGAAATAACAATGACAAGACCAGAAATCATTCAATCATTTATATGCTTCAGGTGTCTTAACATTTTCGTGTGCTGGTTTAAATATAACTTTTAAAAATGTGTAAATTAATTTGTACAGTTCAACCTAATTCATGCTAATTAAATGATAATTTAAGAGTAGAGTAACGAGAAGCTCCTAGTAAAGGGGTTATTGGGTTTGTTTTTAAAACATGAAAGGAGTGCCTGTTTAAATTTATTACACATTGCCCAAAATGTGGCTTCCATCTTTATTTCTTTTTTCTGTTAACACTTATCACTGTTTGTCTCATTTCAAATAGAGAAGAAGATCTATGAATGTCCAATTTGCAAGGCAGTCTTTGACCAGGTCCTTGCTTTGAAAGAACATACGCACATTCACTCAGAAAATGGATTATTTACTTGTCTGCAGTGCAGTAAGGTGAGCTTTCATTATTTATGTTACTTCAGAAACAGGAATAAAGGCTTTGTACAGTGTTTCTAGTGAACTTGTCTGTACCTTTTTCCAGTGTTTAGACGTGTTCCCCAAATGCCTGTAAATTTCAAATGAACTGAAGAAATATCCGATGAAGAACATGATAAATTCCTCTCATCAGCAATACCAACATTGTTACCACATAGTTGTAAGGGGTTATCTGCAAATTTAATGTCGGTAATCCATGAACGGTTATGCCCGTGTATTTGAAATGTGCTAAATTAACGGCATGGGTATAGATGGCTGGATGGATGGGCGGATGTATGAGTGAGCTGAGATGCACGTCCGGTAGTTGACGAGTGTGGGTGCTTGTACTGCTTTGATGGTGGGATGAGCAGATGACTGGTTATATGGCTGTGCATTTATAGTCATTACCTAAGGAGGAAGGCACAGATTAATTCTTGGAAACCTTTTAAATATATATGCTTTCCGTATATGACGCTCCTTCAAATGAAATTTGTTCAGAGTTTGTTCTGGACAAAGGAGTACAGGCCATTGAAAGTAATTTCATGAGGACTGAATTTGAATAACCTTCATATATTCGTATATTTTAATTCTCTCTTATGTTAATAATCCTGAGAGCTTATTTTTAGTTAGGCATTATTTCAGAAGGATTTTGTCCTTGCTGTTTACACACTTTCAACTTGAACACAGAACCACTAGTATTGGAGCGTTACGTGAAATATGCAGAGGACGGAAACAGTGTTGACTGTTCTTTGTGCCTATGACAAATTTGAAACACTGTTTAATGACACTGTTGTCCTACCAGGTGTTTGACGAGTACAATCAGATACGCAAGCATGTGCGTGCATTCCATGGTGGCAAGCGATTCCCATGTGGACTGTGCGAAAAAGAATTTCCCGCCCGGATAAATTGAAGCTCCACATGCTCAGGTGCCCAGCCGCCAGTTCATTCTCATCCGATGTTCTGTTTGCTCGCTCATTCTTTATTCTCTATTTTTATATATGTTGGTATGAATACTTTTGATGACATGCAACTGTTGACTGATAATGTGTTATTAAGTGTTCGCCTTGTATTTTTATGTCAATATTTGTTTGGTTTATTGGCAGCATTGGATACCCTGATTCCTAAACTTTGGAATATCTCATTTTTGCATTGTTGTGCTAAAACATTTATCAATCTATTCAGATTTTCTTTCATTTGTTCATGTGTCGTAAACCAGTATTAACCAAGACACGCCAATGTAATTTACACAAAAGAGGAAACCATGATCAGGCTACTATTTTCTGATACAGTATGTCCAGAAAGTCACTCTGGAGTTTTAGGATGCTGTATGTTGTTAATTACTACCTGAAATGAAAATTAAATGAAAATTAACTGAAAACATTCTGTCAATATATTTCCACATTCGATCCTTTTATGGCATGACAGATATCTAACTGATACCTGTTTTCAACTTGCACACACACCTTAGCAAATCTGTAATTAAATGCTCCCTGTATGTATTAATTGTACTTGTTATCCACCCCGTTGACATAAAATCTAAAAATCACCATAAAACTATCCAGTATACCTGTAAATCATTTAATTAGTGTGGCCTTCATAACAAAGTTATAGGACCTCTTTGTTTGCCAAGACTGCAGCATCCGGAAACATTTATATGGATATGCTGGAGAATGTCATCTTTCCGAAGATGAAAGGAGAAATTGGATTTTTTTTCAGCAAGATGAAACGCTGCTTTGTTACAGAAATGCTAGTCATGCCATGATGGTTCGGTAATGTGCAGTGAATTCTGTGACCACATTGCCCCTCTCCATTTCATATAAGAGGATTAAATTAGTGAAAACTATAATATGATATTTTGCTTTGTTTCGTGTATGAAAGTAATTGAAACATATTTTCTATATGAATAAACTCCTATCTTCATTACATATTTGAAATTGTTTAAAACACCAGAACTGTGATGCGTTCTTGCACTTCAGTTTCTGCGACATTGTCTAATACATAAGATAAGACAGTTGCAGTAATGTTCAAAGGACTCCCTCAAATGATGTGTGGCTCAAGCCCAAAAGAAGTTTTAGGCATCATCCATAATGCAGTTTTTTGGTAGTGTCTGAAACAATGGATCAAATGTTTTGGGGGAAATCTTGAATTATTGTATTGTATGCAAAGTTCACTTGCTTTTTAATAGTTGTGTAAAAAAGATTGTACTGTGTTTTGCGCAGAATATGAAGATTTACATTTTAATTTTATGTGCAATGAAGCATATGCTTTCCCTATAGAATGTCATCTGCAGCTGGCCAGTGACCCTTCTGGTCAGTAAGCTTGTGGTTAATCATTATTTTTTGGTTAGGTTATTTTAGGTTATACATTAATGGTAATGTATCTTTGTGGAGTAAAAACTTTTGATGCGTAGAAGAGTTACATAATTTCCCAACGCTCGACAAACTCAGAATGCATATGCTCAGGTAACCTTACTCTTTCTTCCTTCCTTCATATGCAGGGTTGAAGGACTGGCATATATCTGTTTGGGTGACGTGACTCAACTTTACAGTCTTTTAGTGTTTTGAAGGTGCGTGGTTTCCCGCTTTTATACCCTTCTGCTACCATATTACATAATGATGAGTTTCAGACCATGAAAGATATAACAACATTCGTTCACATTTAAGCTGGTGCTGCGTTCAAGGCATAACTAATTTCGGAGATTGAATTAAACACAGGTGGAGTTTATGTAAAAGCTGGACATTTTACACTTCCTCGCTTGATGTAGAATGTTCCCTGTAATTTATGTTTCACGTACTTAATTTTAAACTAATTTTATAATGGATTTTTATAATTAAGCAGAGTTTAAGAAGATAAATGGATAAAGTTAATAACTTTAGTTTCAATAGATCATCATTTGTAACTTATAACATATCTGTGGTTTCAGTATTTTATTATGTGCCCTATTTTTGGAGGGGGGAGCTTATATTCATTTTCTGGAGCAATACAATACTTGAAAGTAAGTTGTACTTGATAGTTAATAAAAATTAAGTTGTTATTGAAGTGATATGGTGGAATGTAGTTAATTATTACAACAGTTTTTGATTTTTGATTCTCATTAATGAAACTGTACCATCACAGAGATTCAGTATAACTGGTACATTAGACTTCAGACCACGTGCCAGTTATGTGATAATCCGTAATTAATTCAGCTTTTATATTAAAATCACTTAGACTGTCCTGAAAATTTTTAGATCATTAGTGGTTTTTCATGTGAGTTTGTTAAACTAAATAATGTGTGTAATGACACTGTAAGTGTGCATCTTTCAACAAACTGTAAGCTTAAGGAGACTACAGCCCAGATGGTAATACTATTCTGTGTTTCTATACTTTAGGATCTTACTGCTGTAAGTATTTCTCACATATTCTTACCATGTAAAGTTTTTCCCTTACAATAAATTAATAAGAGCAGATAACAGCTGGTAAATTGACCATGGTTTCTTTTAAGTAGACAATATCAGATTGGCAAAATGCAAACTGATTAATGTCTCAAAGGTTATTATATATATTTTTATTTACTTTATACATATCATTGTATGGTTTTTGCTTCCTGTTAGTTGTTCTGTAGTGGTTTGGTACAACGTGCAGTGCTTGGGCTGTTGTTACCTTTTTATAATGACCCATAGTTTTGTTTGCTTCCTTTTGTGTTGGGTGGAGTTAATATACAGATAGTCCTCGATTTACGCCAGAATGCGTTCCTAGACGAACCTGCGTAAACGGAATCGGCGTAAATTGAAAGTCTTTTATAATGTAAAACAATTGAAAGTCAATGACATGCGTCATGGAACGTATGCATTCGACCGAACAGGAACTGCGACTTTCCACGAAACCTTATCACACGCCAACTGCCAAGAAATTCATGCCCAAGGTACAGGTAAAGTTATCCTGTGTTGCAGCTCTGTTTAGTTTTTCAGTTGCAATGAGGAAAGTGGGAAATATTAACTTTATCTTGAATGGTTATCAGTTTCAGTACTGTAGTTGCTTATACCGTCTTTCAGGTAACTTAATACGTTCTTCTTCTTCTATGGCGCAACAGCCCAAAGTCGAGCCTTGGCCTCCTTCCATGTGGGAGGTTTCTTTGTCTTTTGAAGTGTGCATTTGTGAGTAGTGAGTGACAAGCCCACTGCCTCTGCACAATTTCTACTCAATCCTGATTTGTCTGCTAGAGCCATCTAGTAGTGATTCAAGAGAGACTTGGGTGAGAAATGGCCGCTGAATTTTGCTTACGAAACATCTCGTTCATGTTCGTAAGGTTCCTTTACATGTCTTTGATCTATGACATGGGACCACCGGCTTTACTTCCCCTTTGAAGTAAGTTGTGCTACGGATTTTTATCACCCTTAAAAATCCATAGACCTCAGCCGGGTTTGAACCCGCGAACCTTTCTTCCAGAAGGCATGTCTATTTGTGACATGTTAGGGATTTTGTCATCATGGTTCAAAACTTTTGATATCTGGTTGGTTCTCATAACAAACGTCTGATAAACTTGTTGTTAGGTAGCTGTCATATTTTTGGTATGATTGTGATATGGCATGAATATCATGTTTCAGGTTTCTCCAACAGATTATCATCGATTTATCTACAAATGCCAGACTTGCCTCTTGGGGTTTAAGTGCCATGGAATGCTTGTGAATCACCTGGCAAAGCGTCATCCTGACATCAGTCCTGATTCTGTTGCTGAACTTAATTTGCCGATCCTGAAAACAACCCGAGACTATTACTGTCAGTATTGTGAAAAGGTGACTATAATTTTTTATTAACTATTGATTGTAAGATGGTGTCATAGATCAGTTGTGGTACATTTTTATGTCATATTTGTGCTTATTATTCTCTTATGTAATAAGTGAGTGTGAAGATGGCTGTCTTCAGGGTTGTAGAACTGTGTAGTCTGGTAGATGTTTAGCAGTATTTCAGAGGTACTTGCTGCCTCCATCATCAGGGTGATGAGTCATCACGCTACAACCCAAAAGACAGCTATCATCATTAAATAATTAATTCACGTTTTACATAACCTTCCTTCCAGTTCATCTGTTTCAAGTACTATGTAGAGCAGTTACGTGTATTAAGGACTGGTTTTGTTGGCATTCTTTTCAGATTTATAGAAGTAGTTCGAAGAGAAAGGCTCACATCTTGAAAAATCACCCTGGAGCAGAGTTGCGAATGAGCAACCGACGAAAGGTAAATGATATTTGCTGTCATTGACAAGTAAAAGAATTGCCTTTAGAGTCCTCTCTGTATAAATATTGTCCATCACAATAGTTTCAGTGCCTTTATGGAGTTATGTCTCACGTGTTAAGTAGAAAAAACGTGTGCACCAGACAATTGAAACCATTATTTTTATGTTACCAAGTTAATTATCCTCAATATTTATAATTTTCTTTGAGCAAAGGAGTAACATAGTAGGATTTGAGGTTTTCACAGTGGTGAGTCCAAACATGACTGTATTCTTGTTTGTAGCACCATGTTGTCTGTTAGAAGTTTACCATAGTTTCAGAGATTTTTGCTGCCTCCATCATCAGGGTGATGAATCATTTTTTGCTCTGATGAAGGGGGTAGCAATTTACAGTCGGTATTAAGGTTGATTTTTGCGACTCTCACATCAGGGAGGCATTCCAGAGATACCAGGCATACCAAACCCAACATTCTCACAGACTGTAGGCAGCGTAACAACACATCCACATGGCTGTCCCTGGTGGCACAAGCAGTATGCATCAAAAGCAAAGTTACTGCAACACCAACGCAAGAAACACATTGATCTGCTGCCTCAGAACCAGCAGGTCAGTACCGACTGTTTGTCAACATTGCACTAGCAAATAAACTTGACCATTATGGTCTGTGTTCAAATAGAAGATTGATAGTGATTGGCTGTTGAAAATTTTTGTGAAGCAATTCGCACATAAAGTAGTGATATGATAGTTGACTGACGTGTATATATTTTTTTTATTTCTGCAGGAATAATTGTAATCTTCGGATACATGTGTAGGATTTACTTTGATGTAGAATCTGCTCTGTTGCAGCTTTGTTTGTACAGAGATGACGCGAGTGTTGTTTTATTGTGGAGGCTGAAACCTGGCAACACATGCAGGTGGGAGAATGAGGATTTTTTTGTGTAGTGCATTGTAGATCGGTGCATCTCGTAATGCTTTGTTTGGAATCTGTGAGGTTTGGCATGAATATAAGGGTTTGAATAGGTTTGTAATGTTATTTGTTTGAGAGAGAAAAAAATTTGCTGATGGTATTGGTTTGAATTCGTAAGTAAGAAGCTTTCAGTTGTCAGTATCATATTATTACAGATTCAGTGGAATGTGGCTGGTTTACTTCTTTTTTTAATCTTGTAGAGCCTGCGTGGCTTTTAGTTTTAAGACCGGCTGCCTTTGTTTTTTGATGGAGTTTAGATAATACTGATGTTATTTTATTGCACCAGAAGAACAGTTCACTCTTATGATAATGTGTGAGTAGATTTTAAGAAGCGGAGCTTTCGGAGTGCACGGAGCAATATTATCACTTCCATAAGAAAAAGGAGGATTTTTAAGAGGGACTGTAATCTTAACAGAAAGTGTTTTTAAAATGGAGATAATTAGTGACTTTATACCTGCTTTTTGTCAGATCGCACGATATGCGGATTCATAATTTATCAATGCAAAGAAATTTAGTGCTGCAGTTGCTGATATATTTATTAAATGTATAGTCATTTACTTATTTGAGCTTGATAAAAGTTCTATTTATTTAATTTTAATCCGCTGTCAAGAGATAATTAAGATATGTACTGTTGTTAAATGTGTCCAGTAGGCATAGTTTTTGAGTGTGAACAGTAGTTAGAACATTGGTAAATGATTATATTTTGGGGATTGATGTATAGTTGAATAGCATTCTTGCCTAATACACTAAACAGACAGTTTCTAATCTTATTGAGTTAAATGAAATTGTTTGTCCCCTAATTATGCGGGGGACTTTAATTTGTAACAGGTTATATACTTGTCATAGCAGTAAACTTTTCTACTTGTTTGTTTTTGGGTTGTGATTTCAATGTTTATGCTCACCAATTGAAGTACTGTCAGACCCATTCTAAATCAATCATCCTGTCTTTGTGAGTGTTGCTGTAATTCTCTGTAATAGACAGTGCTTACACACAAAATGTATATGGCAATAGAATAGCCTTGAAAGGTGCAGCACTTGAATCATCTTTATCATGTGACGTTAATAGCAGAAATTTTTATTTCTGATATTTTGGATATTTGTATAGAAATATGTAGGCCAATGAAGGATCTAGTTTGATTTTGCCAGTGCTGTGGCAATTTATGGAGTACTATATTTACTTGAATATTAGACAATATTTTAATTCTGAATTAGACATTAATAAAGATGTTGAAGTGTCTGATGTTTTTGGTAGTCTGTTATTCGAGTAAATGAAGTATTAACTTGTTGCAATATAGAAATATTGATATCCTTCCAATAGGCTATGGACTAATATTTAAGGAATGGGCATCGTCCATTTCCATTTGCTGGCACGTGTTTGTTTATGTCAAATGCTTTTGCAGTTGTAAAATATTGTGGGGTGGGGCATTTATTTCCTTCCTGTTGGAATATTATTTGCCTCTTTATTTTTGCCCCCAACTGTTTCAACTGCAAAATGATTGTAAGTTTGTCAAGTCAGATGACGAACGTTTGTTACGAAAGCAATCACATACATGTATTTGCTGCACTGAAGTAGCTAATTCAGACTGAAACTGTTATTTACAGGTGTTTAATTTCACACCATTGTCATGCAAGAAGTGCAATAATTGTTTTAAAAATGAACACTGTATTTAAGTGTTTTGTAATGTGGATACATTTTTATGCAGTTGTTGTTATGTCGATATTTAGTCTTTCATATGGCACTGAAACACCATCTCCCCACCAAAATTTTATTTGTACGTTTTCAATGGACATTTCAAGGGATGTGAAAGGAGAGTGAAAGCACGTGTGTGTTAAGTGCGATTTGAGGTACTCACAGTGGTGAGTACAAAGATGGCTGTCTTCTGGGACTTAGTGCTTTGTAGCCTGGCTGAAGTTTACCAGTGTTCATAAACTTCTACATTCCAAAAGACAGCTATCTACATGTGCATGAAATTGGTAGATAATGTAAATAGGTGTAATTTGTCGATCAATCAGAAATTTGTCTAGCCGAATACATTCAGGCATCCTCGTGTCCCATCCCTATTCAAACTGTTGTGACTGATCTGATTTCCCTATCACTTGAATTTTCAGAGTTTACTTTTACTGATAGTTTGAGTATATGTTTAAATATAGTATAATATTTTAAAAAGAATATGAGTTTACATTTAATAATTTTCATTGACTGTCAAACTGAACCTTTTTTCTGCATTGTATTATTCAAGTGAAATACTTAAATCGTTTGCTGTAGGTTTTTAAAAGTAGCTGCACAGTACTTAATTTTATAAAGTACTTTTGTGAAGTATGGTATGCTGAAAGCAATTCGAGTACTGTTTTCACACTTTTATGCTCTGATTGCAGCAGCAAATCACAGATAATTACAAGGCTAATACCCAGCCCTATTACCTGGCCTTGCAATATTTGTACGTTCTTATTACTGGCAAGTATAAAAAAATTATTTTCACAAGATACTTCTATCTGGTATTTGAAACTGAAAATAATAACTTTTCCTTTGATAATTTAGGAAGGCTGTAGGGAACAATATGGGACTCTTGTTATGGTTTAATGTTCTTACAAAGATCCTTGCGGTATGTCAGCCATTTGCAGATGATAGAGTAAGGTATTTTACAATATTTATTTAGTATCTGAAATAATGTAAGTACATACAATACCAATGTACATTTGATATGGGCATTTGAAACAGCGTTAAGGGTAGGTACTGTCATGCCATTCTGTTCCATACTGTTCCTTTTGCCTTTAATTTACTTCCTTTTTATTTTGAAATTTATTTGTTGAATCTATTGTGCTAATACTGTGGATGGAATTTACAAATCTCATTGGCATATTTCAGTTACTTTCGGAAAGGGTCGCGCTTTGTTTTGATGTCTCCTGGCCACATCACCTCCTTCTTGTTATCAGGATAATTAGTGACATGGTTGTTGTGCTATCACGGGTATGTTTGTAGTATTCGTCTGTACATAAAACTGTCCTTGAACAGTTTTATATAAGGAATGATTTTCTGGTACCTTTGAATGTCATAGAGAATCACGAAGCCCAGGGTGATCCCTCATATTGACAAAACGATTTGTAAAATCAATTAATTGACTAGATGGCTTAGGGAACCCAAGCTTCTAGCAAAATTTGTATAGGTAAATATTTATCTGACTCATTTTCCATGAAGAATTGTCTGAAATAAGGAGATGCTGTATTTCCATTGCTGTTTAACTTTGCGCTAGAATACGCCGTCAGGAAAGTCCAGGATAGACAGGAGGGTTTGCAATTGAATGGGACACATCAGCTATTGGCATATGCTGATGATTTTAATGAGGGTTTTGGTTAATTCAGTGATGAACCTTCAGGTTCCATAAGCCATCTATTTAGTTAGTGTGCTTTCTCATTATGGTGTTTGGTCAAAGGGGGTGATTCATCATATACCTCTTATTAAGGGAAGTTCTAATGTACTTGTGATTCAGGGTGTGAATTAAATGTATTAATACAGTTGAAATTTTTTACTCTAGGAACTGTCAAATATTTATAGGAAATGTTCAATTTAATTTAAAATTGTTATTTATTTCCCAACAGGATTTATATGTATACTTATCAGAGAGTGAAAGGTTTAATAACCTTAGTGACCCAGAAGCCTTGATTTTTTTAGTGAAAAGGGTATTGTTTATGGGGACTGGAGTAGTGGTTCTAATAACGATGGAACATGTGTACACAATATTGAATTGAAGGTATCAGAGGTAAATATAGTAGTTATAAGTGCACTGTATTCATTAATGAATCTGATACAGGACTGGGAGGTACTTCTTTAAAAAATAATTAGTTACTGCAAGTTCTGGAAGTTGAAATGTGTGGATAATATTAAAATACTTCTTATAGATCTTAATTGTAGCCTTTTGAGCTTCAGTGAATCCATTTGTATATTGTACGTTAGTGGGTATTTTGTGCAATTTGGTTAAGAATTTGCATTTTTGTTTTGTCTTGTCTACGCTGTGCAGAACAATGGATCTTTATATATTCACGCGTATTTCACACGGAGAGGAAAGTCGCCAGACCATTCTTCTGGAAAAGGAATGTATTTGCCACATCACATGGCTTGCAACAAGAAGCTGTTGAATAAATATAAGCGGCTGCTCTACACAAAGACGCATAATCTCCTGACCGGTGAGACAGTGGCTACTTCGGCAGAGGTGAAGGTAAGGCAGTAGACACCATTAGTTTCAACTTCGGAGAAGTCTCAGTGTTAAATATTGTAGATCTCATCGCCTGCCATGAAGACTTCATATATGTGTGTGTGGAGAGAGAATTTGACTTGAACCAGAGCGGATCACAGATTGCAAATAAGGATCGACACAAGTTTTTTGTGTGGCAATAGATATTTTGCCATGTGCATATTGAAATGCTGCAAGAGACGTGTTCTGTATTGACCTTGTTTGTACACTCATCTTCACAGAGAGCTGAAATTCTGAAAGAGGAATTTGTTTCTCATT